GGGGCGGTGCGACAGCAGCCCCCAGGCCACGGCTGCTCCCAGCACGGGTGGGTCCGGCAGCACATGCGCCGAAGCCACGGCGTCCTCAGGCACAGCCAGCACCATCAGCGCCTGTCTGTGCACCGATGCCTGTCACACGTGCCCTCAGTCAGCCGTGGTGGCGGTGGTTTCACAGACTAACCCGGGGTATGGACTCCCCTCAGTAACTGCTCCGTGCACGGCCCTTCCGGGAAAAGTCTGACCGCGGCGCAAGGGGAGGGGAATTCCAGAGGCCGCCCCGCAGGACAGCGGGCCGCAAGCCACGGCCACCGCCAGGGGGCTGGTCTACTTCTCAAGAGAGAGAGAGAGAGGCCACGTTTGATAACAGATTTAAGGAATCGAACAAATGTTAAAAAAAAAAAAAGGCTGGGGTTGCTTGTGAATGAATGATAGTTCCATAAACAACATCTCAAGTCCACCCCGTGTCCCTCAGGGCCACTGCCGTTGTCCACTGTCGAGTAAGCTCGCGTCTGACTACCAACAGCTCCTGGCCTGGTGTCCGGCACTCTGCCCCTCAGTCCCCTGCCGCCCACCAGCAGACAGGTGCCCCACGCGACCTCCTCGGGCCGTGGGGGGTGGGAGGTGCCCTGGAGGAGGCCTCGGGCCCTCTGCACGGGAAGCTGCTCATCCACTCCCAACCCCAAAAACGGGACCTAAGAATTCAGCTTGTCTAGGGCAAGAAACTGTGAGAAACGGGTTTCTGCTCAGGTCTCAGCAGCTGCCCACCCAAGAAACCCAGCCCGAACGCCCGCCAGCTTCCCACGGCCAGTGCTTCCACCGCTTTCGTGCCAGACACGGGCCTCTTCCTGGCGTTTTCCCGCCTACGCGGGACCTTGTCTTTCTGGGGTGATTTGATCCGGCTCGATTCCTCCTAAGCCGCCCACACACCCACTCCTGTCCCCACAGACTTCTGGCACTGAGCACCTGACTCCCCGCCGGCTGGCCTGGGGGCTGACTTGTCTGCTCCAGGGAACATGAAGGTCTCGGTAGCCGCTGCCCCGTGTGCCGGTGGCTGCCCATGCGACGGCTTGCCTTCCTCCTTGATTTCTAGCATTCCTTGGAGGCAGTGAGCAAGAACGCGGAGGAAGGTGGCCTTGCAGAATTTCAGATTCATTCCTGAAGAATAGTTTTTGCTGGAAGTCAACTGTAGGGTGACAGCTACGTCCTCCTAGCACACCGAAGACGTCGTCCCGTACTTCTGTTGAGAAGTTCTCAGCCATTGTTAGAAAATACTCTTTTTTCGCTCCCTGCCTTGAGAACTTGTCTTTAGTTTAATTAAATTTTACTATGCTGTCTTTACACGTAGTTTTATCTCCTCAGGATTCACTGGTCTCTTGAATCTGTGAATTGGTTTATTTTAGTAGTTCTGAAAAACATTCCAGTCGTTATCTCTTCAAATTCTTACTCCTTCTCTCTCCTCTCCTTGTGTGACTCCAAATAAACACATTAAGCTTTCTAACCACACTCTCTATATCTCTTACCTTCTGTATTCTCCGTATTCTTATCGATCCATATTTTATTATAGCTACTTTCTTCTAGCCCACCTTCTAGTTCATTAATTTTCTCTTTAGCTGTGTCTAATTTGTTAGTCCCGTCCACTGAACTTTAAATTTATCACGTCTTTCAATTTCAAAATTCCCATTTGATCATTTTTCAGAATTCTTATGAAAAGAATGTACTCGTTCCCCTGAAGACTTTTCAAGCTTCTCTTTTTCTCATTTTTTCATGCATAGCAAGGTTAATAGTGTTATGTTATGTGCCTAAAAATTACAAAAGCTCAAAATTTTGTGGGCCAGTTTCTGTTACCTGTTATTTGCTCTCACTTAAGGAGTCTTAAATGTGTGGTAACTTTTGACTATGTGCAGATTGTTTCATTTGAGGGGAAAATACACACACACACACACACACACACACACACACACACACACACACACTGTCAGAACTCACATTCTGTAACTTCTTCCAGAAAAGATCTGGAACTTTGAGTACTCTAGTACAGAACTGGCATAATCCGAGTTCAAACGACCCTGATCCCGCCAGGTGATGTAAACTGCGTGGGGTCCGTGTCACTCGTGACCCTAATGGTCACTCCTATAGGCTTCAGGAAGTTCACAGGCATTTCTGAGCCCCTTCCCGGGGTGAGCCAGGGTCCGACAGATCGACTGCACGAGGCTGTTGAAAGCGCCACGCCCTCCAGGATGTCCCTCCTGGATGAGAAGATGCCTCAGAAGGACAGAGGCTCTCGGGCTCGCTGCTCTGGCCCCAGCGTCCGGCCAGGGAGCTGCTGTTCTCTTGCTTACAGTCCGATGCTCTTAAGAAATTTGCTGGCTTCTTTCCTTCTTCTATTTCTTTTCTTCCTTCCTTTCTCTTTCTCTCTTTCACCTGCCTGCTTGTCTGCTGGCTTTAAAAATAAAATCCCAGCCGGGGTTCTGGGGAGTCTCCAGTGGGAACCTGGCTGGCATCTCTGAGTGGACGGGGACCCCACTCCCGCCTTTTCCTTTAATTCCAAATCAAGTGGCTCAAGTCTCCGTCCCCCATTCTGCCCCTGAGATTCCACGCAGTTCCCCTGGGGTCCCCTGGGTCTCTTGGAGACAGATCGCTGCTCCCCACGCAGCGTACACTCTCTCAGGCCACTGCCCACGCCCCCTCCTCCTGGGCCTCCACCACACACACGACCCCTTCCTGTCCACGTAACAGACTTCCCAGAGATCCCGGGGCGACAGAGACGGGGCACAGCACCACTCGTGACGGAAACAAATTCCGTGGCCGCCCCTCCTCACGAGAAAACCACCCAGTGCCGGTGGCCCTCTGCTGACCTCCCGTGCTTCCTTCCGCCCGCAAGACCTTTGACCTCCTCTGCCTCCAACTCCCGAGCACACCCTTACAACACGACTTCTGGTCCACAGCAGCTTAGCGTTTTCCTAAACTTCCCGCCACAGACCGCGCCTTTCTTAACCGACAAGTCCGTGAGGGGCGCCCCCTCACCGCAGGGCCACGCGGTTCTGAAGTAAATGCCGTCCTCCTCCTCAAATGCAGGCAGGAGGCGCTGGGTTGGGTTGGGTTGGGTTTTTAAGAGCAATTTTTCCTTCCTAGTATAGCCTACCCTTCATAAAACCTTTACAGTCTCAGCAAAGTTCCCAGCCCACAAATTTTCTTCCAAGAGGTGCGTGACAAAATGGGGGAGGGGAACTTCACAAGGCTGAGTCCTGCGGATGCTTCTCCCAAAGGGGGGCCATGGGGTAAGGCCGCCCAGCAGCCTGAGGCCCCGACCTGTCGACTAAGCAGCTTCCTTGCTTTGGAAGCCTGTGTGTCCTCACGGTGAGGCCGTCGTGGCTCTTTACGTTTCCATTGGAACAAACACATTACACGGTTTAATGTTTTACAACACGGCATCTTCTCTGTTGCGAAGAGTTGATGATTTATACAGAAAGCTGCAGGATGAAGACGCGCCCCCTCCAAAGCGGCCCTGAAAACACAGCTGTGATTCACGCAGAAGCGCAGATGTGGCTGAGCCTCAAGGTGGCTGCGCCTGCTCCCTCGGTCCACCAGCGAATCTGCAGCGCACGCCTCCCTAACCCACGGCGCCAGAGAAAAGCAATTCGCGCATTCCCAGAGTGAGCCCCGGAACCAGCGGGCCGAACCACGACTTCCTAACGCCCCTCACGGACATGGCACCTGCCTGCTAGGCCAGGGGAGAGAAGCCGGCTAAAAACGTGTGAGTCACGTCTACTGCAAACCGTATTTCAGAGACCTAGATGAGACTGGGCGCAACCTGAAGCAGCTGGTCGGGGAAAAAAATTCAACAAATCCGGAAAAGGTCTAGCTGCGAAATTAGCAACAAATGTACACAGACGCAGTCACGTCCGCAGAGGATGGCGCTTTGAGCAGACAGGCTGAAAAACAGCTAAACCTGCTGAATCGAATCCAGCGTCAGGGGAAGATGTGCGTGCGATCTGACAACGTGGGAACTGAGGACGAACCATTAGACGGAGCTGAAAACCAGACCCGATCCAGGCACAGCGCAGAGTTTGTCATCTACACGGCTCCATCTGATATTGTCGATCAGAGTTCCCCAAACCGAGCGCCCCTCTGCCGACGGCGACGGTGACGGCTGCAGCAGCGCCCCCGCGGAGGCGCAGCTGTGCGAGCACGCGGCGGCGGTGGCAGTGCTGGCCCACGTCCCCACCGCGAGCCAGGGGCAGCGTCCTGCGCGCTCGGGAAGCCACCGCCAAGCCCCCACGGCCCTTCACGAGAGTGCTTCTCCTCTCGGACCTCGCCGCTGGCCGGCGGGTATCACAGATCTACGTCCGGTTCTGCCCCGCATCACTTTGCTAACGCTCTGCTCGTCAATTTATCAAACTACCAGGAGACCACGCCTGGAACGGGCAAGATTATCGCTCCGCCCTCATTTAATTAAACTCTGCCACTGCAGTTCGACAGCTGGCACATCGCGGGAGAATCGCTCTGAGGCTGAAGGTAAAAAGCAGGCAAAGCCCCCACTTAAACAACATGAAAGCACAACCCACACCGGCCGGAGCACGCACTTTAATTTTTCTAGAATGTAAAAGATGTTATTTCCAGGCTTGGTAATTAATTGGATTCCACGGAGAAGTTAAGCCAGCACCCCTGACAGCAGAACGATGCACAGAGACAGGGAACAGAGTGCCAAAGGACAGCCACAAACAACCACGCTGTCGCCTGGATCGGGGCAGTCACCGGGCACGATAAGGACGGGCGCCGCCTGCTTCTGGGGTGCGCGCACCCCTCCGTCTAACGTGACGTTACACGTGCTGCCCCCTGATGCTGACACCTTCACAGAAGGCGCGGGAGCCGCCCGTTCCAGCGACGCCGCCCTGGGAGAGCCGGGGCCACGGCCGGGCGAGGACGCGCCTGAGCCCCGCAGGGCGGGGGCGAGCCCCAGGGCCTCTGCCACCTCGGCCCGGACCCGGGGACTGGCTTACCGTCGATCCGGCTCACGAGCTCTTCCAGCATCCTCACTTTCATCTGAATCCCGGGCTGGGCAAAGGTGTAGTTGTCCTAAGGGAGAAATAACAACGAGCGTCACATGCACCGGAATAGGACACTCTTCCCAAAGGGGTGGTGGTGAGGGGCACGGGCGAGCGGGGACACCACAGAGGGACTCGCAGACTGAGGGGCGCCCACTGGGCCGGGCTGCGGCACACTGCCCGCGGGCGTGGCTTCCAGTCTGACTCTGACGTGGTGGGGTGCACCCCTTCCCAATGTCGGGGGCCAGTGTGCCCCTCTCCACGACAGCTATTCACATTTACGGGCTCCGACAGGTTCAGCTCACTGCACGGACGTGTGTGCGGGAAGCGGCCGCCTGGCCTGCGCACAGGCAGCGTGCACTCAGCACGGCCACGCAGAAGGGCGACCATGCCCACTGATGAGCGTGCCCCACCGTGCTGACAATCCGAGGGCCCGTGACAGGGTCACTGCCTGGGGGACGAGAGACTTTGTGACTACTGTCTGTGAACTCAGACAGGAAAACCGGCAGGGGCATCAAGCGGGCAGCTGTAAGCAGCCAGACCTGGGCTCTGTCACTTACGAGCCGTGTGACCCTGACAAGCAATGCGACTCTCCGGCTTCAGCTTCACTGTCTACGAAACAGGGACAACGCTGCCGCCCTCCAGGACGGCTCCGCGGCCACAAGGAAACGACGCCAGCGCGATGTGTGCGGAGGGCCGAGACGCAGCAGGTGCTCGGGACCGGCAGCCCTACGACGAGCACTGTCCCCGGCTGAGAGCACAGACCGGCCAGAGAGGAAAGCTGGCACCTCCTCCGTCCCACCCTGAGGCGTCCCCACCACACAGAGCTGCCTCTAGGCGCCTCAGCCGGCACTCAGGGACATTTTACAAGGAGAGTTCCAGCAAGACCGTGTGGGAACAGCTTGCGCCGCTGGTGATCACGGAAGGCAGGGTCATGACCCCCCGAAGATGCCCAAGGCCCAAACCCTGGAGCTGGCGGAAGACGTTAAGGATGCTGATCAACTGACGAAAACGGGGACATTCTCCTCGGTGACCTCAGTGGCCCAGTGTAACCTGGGGCCTTTCAGGTAGAGGAGGGACAGGGGAGGACCAGTGTCAAGGTGGCACGATGTGGAAAAGACCCGCCCCCCTGGTTGGCCTTGAAGGTGAGAGAGGGGCAATGCAGGCAGGAAAAGGCAAGGGACCAGAGGTCCCCTGGACCCCCCGCAAGGAGGAAGCCGGCCACCCGCCTGAGCACAGCGGACACTCGTCACTCTCCAGACCTCCAGGACTGTGACAGCAGACCTGTGCTGTTGGAAGCCTACAGTGGTTTGTTACGACCACCACAAGACACTAACGTGGGGGTCTGGGAAGACTTTAGTGGGGCCCTAAGACCCGCGAATACAAACCAACAGGCGAGCAGCGTCCGGAGCGGCCGAGACCACGGCCTGCGCCCTCAGGACCCTGGGCTGTGGGCACGCGGCCCGGGCCGGCGCTTCACCGGGCCGTGCGGGCGGTGCTGGAGAGGACGGCCTGTCCTCAGGGAGTGACACCGGCGAGGCTGCACGGGCCCACGGCCTCAGTAGCGTGTGGGCGACGCGGGGGCCACGGGCGGCTCAGGCCCAGCCAAGTACGTGACCTTGGAGCAGAGGCCTCCTGGCCTTGGGGACGGTGGGGGACGTGCCCGCTGCCGTCGCACGGAGGAGAGCAGACGTCTGCACGCCCCACACGGCTGGGGGCAGGTGTGCAAGGGCGGTCAGGGCTTGAGCGGCCACCGCCACGGCACCCTGCATTCAGGGCCCAGGTGGGGAGTGGGGGCGGATCTGGGCCTGACATGGGAAATGCCTGGAGAGCAGCATTGCTGGACGGCCGACCACGCGGCAGCTGCTCTGAGGGGACATGACATGCCCATGGGACTCAGAGTCCAAACCTGCAGGCGGACGAGGGCGCGTGTGGCCAGCTCAGGTTTCACCTTCGGGAGGCCCAGGGACGGTGCCACTGGCTCCAGGCTTGGTGGCGGGATTTTCCAGGGGAACAAGCGTGGCCGAGAGGATGACCTCCAGGCTAGCAACAGCTTCTGGGCCGAGGACCAAGTGAGAAAGCACGAGCCCCTGGCACAGTCCACACCCGCTCTGTGCTCAGCACGCGTACGCAAGGGCCAGCGGGCACACACGTGCACGCACGCATGCACACACACACACACACACACACACACACCCACACACCCCAACCGGCACAGGAGCAGTAGTCACTGTGGCACGGAGCTAGAGATGCCTACGAGGCAGCATAGGCTTTTTCCCCCCAGAAATGGAAAATGAACAGACTCTGACCTAACCTCTTGCTGGGAAACTTCTCCCAAGTGAGTCAAGTGACAGGCTCTGGGATCCACTGTCACATCCGAGAAGAGCTCTGTGCCCGGCTTCACTCCAAGCAACATCAAGGCCCCGCCACACTCCTTGGTGGCACGAAGGCCAGGCTCTCCGGGGTGAATGCCCCCGGGGCCTGGGCATGACGTGTCCCCTGGATGTGTTGACAAGCCTGTGGGCCCTGCACACTCTGAATCCTGAGGGAGGGCTGTCAGAGGCCTGCACGGAATGGACAGGGCTTCTGGGCCCTGAAGGAGCTGTGCTCGCCCCAGTGACACCTCAGTGTCCCTCTCACCGAGACGGAGCACAAGTGACGGACAAACTGGAAGCTTTAACGTATTTCAACTTCAAGGAGATAAGAAATTTTGCTTTTGGATTGGAGCTTATGGGTGTCAGCCTTTAAGAGTTAATTTTTCTCTGGAAATGGGGTGACAGAAGATTTATGTTCAAACTTGGGGCACACTGTGTTGTTGCGAGTTCACGCAGGGCCATTCAACCCCATGGGGGAGTTTCTGAGGGGCCAGATTAGGCGATGAAGCTGGACGTCCCCGAGAAGAAAAATAAACTGGAGAGCGATTTTGCAGCCTCAGGTAGAGAGGCCTTGAGGATGATTTAATGTTCACTTCTGACACATTTCAGGGACGTCCTACCCCACAGGTCCCAGGAGGAGACACAGGAGCAGGGGTTTCACGGGGGGCAGCCTGTCCTGAGGGACTTGGGTCTCCCTCCTCGCCCTCTCCGAGGAAGGCCATGCCCCTGGCTGACCAGGGACCTGATGGTTATTAACAACCAGCTGAAGGAGGAGCTAGGAGGCGACACCTCTAAACCTGGGGTTGCTTCCGAGTGCAGTGAATCCAGTTGGGGCCACTCCTGCACTTTCTCTACCCCCAGAACTCACCCCAAAAGGCAACGTATCAACTGGTAAGCCTGGGAGGATACACAGCCGGGGGGGTTCAGCCCTCCTTCAACTCTGCGAGTCGGCTGCCCCCCGGGAAGGCGCTGCTGCGCCCTGCGCTGGCTCTGACGGGCTGGGCGGGCCTCAAAAATCCTGGGATGCGGTTAGCCAGTTGATTCAGCTCTCACACGAAGACAGGATTTCAAGCTTCCCATTTAGAAGAACTAAAAGCTATGCTCCGGTCTCCATCTGCCACTATTTTATTTCTCAATCTTTCAAAACCCGGGTAGGGGAGATGGGTTCCCTTGGAAATCCAAACAAGCAGCAGCACCTGAGCGCCTACAGGAAAAAACGGTCTGTCTTCTGAAAGACCCAGAAAGAGTGACATGTGTGGCCTGGGTGTTCTGCATTTAGGCCGCACCCGAAGGCCAGTCTTCAGATAGCGACGACTCAGGCGACAAGACGGGGCTCAGAGGGCGGTGCCCAGCAAGGTGGGGGCACTGTGGTCAGCTGAGCTGGGCCAGGCCGAGGATAGCCCTGCCCAGGGGCCAGAAAGTCTTTGAGGGCCCAGGAAGGACCTTCTGGAGCCTGAAGGCTGAGCGAGAGCGGGTGGGAAAGGACGGTGCCCGCCGCCCAGCAAGGCTCCAGCGGTGCCTCTCACCAGACCGGGGTCCTGCCCCACCTGCCTTCGGGACACCACCCAGCACCCCATCCGGACGCCGCCCGCACACAGTGCTGGCACAGGGAACGGCTCCTGAATGACTGCGTGACGGGGTGGCGGAACCTGAACCACGAGGACACGGAACACTCACAGGAGCGCTGTGCCAACGCCACGCCCTCACGCCCTCTGCGCCCGCGCTGGCACGCGCCGTGAGCACAAGTACGTGCCGAGTGCCGCAGCCACCAAACCTGTGTGGTGGCGGGTCCCCCTACAGCGACGGCGAGAAAGGAAGAGGGCTCTGTGGGTCAGAGACAGCAAATGCACGTGACGGGGCCGCGAGACCTGGGCCCGGCCGCCCCAGCACCGAAGGGGACCTGGTCTGAACACCGTGCTGAGGACACAGGCCGAGCTGCCAGACAGAGAGGGACAGCTCCTTCGAGAGCACGGCACCGCCCGGGGGTGCAGCTGGCGGGGCAGCCGGGCAGCTGGGGAGAGGCGAGAGGGGGCCGCCCGGGGCTGGTGGCCATGTGGGGAAGGACAGCACGGAACGAAGTCAGCGACCTGGACACGGGGAGCCGCCACAGTGATGAGGCTCGTCTATGAAAAGACAACTCTGGCCACCAGGTGCAGAGTGACAGAAAGGGGCCACGGGGGTGTGGGTGTCAGTCATGACGGCAATGCCGTAACCCAGGCAACGCCATGGGGAGAACGCCCCTCGGAGGACGCAGTCCACCCGCACTGCCCGAGCGCCATTGACGGCCGTGCCAGCCGGCTCCGGGACCGAGCGGCGGGCTTCTCGCTCGTCCCTATTAGCTCGCTCGTCTGCTTGGTTCTCGCTGGCTCTCCAGGCAGCGGAGCCCATTCTGAATCCTGATTATGTCGTCTATCACATTAGCTGTCCCTCCAAGCTCACAGACACTGGTAAAGCTCCACCCACGTGTTTGTCAGTCTCAGAGAAGGAGAAGGACGAGGCCAAGGGCAGCGGGAGGGACGAGGACGAGGCCAAGGGCGGCGGGAGGGACGAGGACGAGGCCAAGGGCAGCGGCCCGTGGCACGTTCTCGGTGACATGCGCAGGTGAGAAAGCTGTAAAATGTAGCCGCCCGCTTCCTCTGCTCTCCCAGTGCTCATC